CTCCCATCCCCGCACCCCGGCTGGCCTTCCAGCCATTCCCTCTGGAGACCGGGAGAGGGGCCTGGGCAGACCCGCACCTCAGCTCTTCAATCTTCTTCTTCTTGATGTCGTCGATGCGCTCGCGTCGCCTCTGGGCCTCCTCTTGGAGGCGCCGGCCCTCCTCGAAGGTGGCGATGCGGTCCTGCACCAGCTTCTGCTGGTTCTCGCGCACCTGGCGCCGGAGCTCGTTGGCGTGCAGCAGGCGCCCCGAGGCCTTCTTCTCCTCCTCCAGCCGCTCCTTTTCAATCTGCTCCCTCTGGGCCCTGCGGGAGGGGCGCGGTGGGCTGGGCTGGGCTGGGCTGCGCTGCGCCGGCCGGCCAAGGAAAGGTGCTGGGGAGCCTCCGGGGGCTGCTCCCCTGGGTGTGCCTCAGAGGCCCCCGCTGCAGCCCTCCTGTGGCTCCGAGACCAGCCTCCACGGCCGCCCCTGCGGGCCCCACGCCCACCCAGGGGGCATGCAGCTGCGCCTCACTGGCAGGCTCAGGAGGGCCCACGCCTGACTAAGGGCTCTGCTGTCACTGCTCTGAGACGCATAATTCTTTTTAACCAGGGGCTCCACCATCTCATTTTATCACTGGGCCCTGCAAATCATGCAGCTGGTCCTGCACCCAGGGTTTCGCTCTCTCTTCCCCTATAACAAAGCACAACTCTTGTCCAGCCTGTTGTAAGGTCTCCCCCCCCACCCTCTCCCTCCCTCCTTTCTCTCTCTCCCTTCACCCTTGCCTCCCTCCCTCCCTTCCTTTCTTCCTTCCCAGGAACAGTAATGAGAGTGTAACAAAACCAACAAAGGGGATACTAAGAAGTTAAAGGAAGTGTAAAATGTCCTGCGGGCTCTCCTTGGTTACTGGAGGAAGGAACTCAGCCTGGCATCTCTCTGTCCTCTCGTTGCTCCAGCTCTCACGAGGAGCGTCTTCCACAAGAGTACCTCATGGACCCTGACATCAGGGGGGCGCTGGCTAACACAGGCCAGGCAGGCTCAGGCATAAGCCATCCTCAGTGATCATTTTCTTTCTCTCTCAGCGTAATCAAAAACAAAATGTAGGCCGGCTGGGCGTGGCTCAGCGGTTGAGCATCGACCTAGGATCCAGGAGATCGTGGTTCGATTCCCGGTCAGGGCATATGCCCGGGTTGCGAGCTTGATCCCCAGTCAGGGGCGTGCAGGAGGCAGCAGATCAATAACGACTCTCTCATCGTTGATATTTCTCTCTCTCTCTCCTCCCTTCCTTTCTCTGAAATCAATAAAGATTTTTTTTCAAAAACAAAAAACCAACAACAAAATGTAAAATCATCTTAGGCAAGGATCTCTCACCTGCTCTGCTCCCCTGGGGTCACTCACACCCCAACAAAGGTACCAAAAGCACCCCTTCACTTAATCATTTTCCCCTAGCCATCCAAGATGCTCCATACATGGGGTATCAGCTCAACTCCCAGCAACTCTTTTATGCCACGCAAACATCTTTTAAAATTCTACTCCCACTACAGAACCTTCTCAGTTAACCAGAAGAGAACCACTGACTTTCTTCCCCTCTGTATTTAGACACCAAAGCCCCCTGTGCAGGCTCTATGGCTGCAGGAGGACTCTCCTCTTGGCCTTGCCATTATTTTTCTGTAGAGAGAACTATTTCCTATTGTTTCACATTATATGAAACAGGGTGAAAACGGAGGACCTGTATATGTCACTACAGATCCCCTGGAGTGGCCGGCAGTTGAAAATCTGAATAGGGAAGAGTCTGCCATTTCACAGGGTTCGAGCAGTGATCTAGGAACTTGCGAAAACTACTGATGCCTGGGCCTCACCCCAGACCAGCTAAGTCAGAATTTGTGGAGGTGCAGCCTGGGGCATCAGTACTTTTTGAAAGCTCCCAGGGCATTTCTAGGAACCATTGAGTAGGGTAGGTCAGTTATCTCTGCTTGGTCAACAGGCCAAGAGTTAAAGGCACCCCTCTGTCCAGAAGAGGAAGTCCATATATAGGCCATACAGGAGGCCGTGCTTTGGGAGCAGGAACAGTTGGCAATGACAGAGATGCTCCTAGCACTTGAAGACACCCACTATGGCGGTCACAGGGCCCTGGAGACACTAGGTCTAGATTCTAACCAAAGACAACAGGTAAAATTGAAGTTCTCCAAAAGGCTGGTCTAGCTTTAGTAACTGACTACTATGTCTGCTTCAGGAAAACAAATAAAGAATAAAGAAACAGGTCAGTGACAGAAGTGTAACTTCAGTTTCTTTCCATTAACACTATTAGTGCCCGGTAATGGCAGCACCGATGTCCAAGGGCATAGGGGCTGGGGAGGGCACACATGGGAAAGGCAGACTGGAGCCCAGGGGCAGAATCTGTGGGGCTGCCTTCTTTACCAGGTATCCAGAGACCATGCACAATCCTTTGGGCAGGGAAAGCTACAGAGCCAAAGGGCATCACAATCCACAGGGACAGGCTACGGGCCCACAGTCCAATAAAAGATCAGGAACCTGGCTCTGACAGGGACAGAGATTCCTACGAAGCTGCTCTGCCTCTGGCCAGGGGTCCAAGGGCCTGGTCTGGTATCAACCAACAAGCCGTGCCAAGGACAGGACCCTAGATTATGTAAACCAAGGAAGCTGGGCTACGCGGCTCAGTTTCTACTTATCTGAGCATAATTTCGGTAATTTTGAATGGCAACCGCCCCAACTCAAATTTTGTTTTATTTGCTTCCTTTTGAGAATTTCTGATTGTACAGTCTGAAGATTTTATAGAGCAAAAATAGAGTCATTCCCAGTTAGAGGACAGTTAGAGCCTGGAGGAGACCCCAGGGACCACGTCTGGTGATGGCAGATCTGCCTGGCAGAAGCCAGAGCAGCTGGGACTGCTACCGCTTTGAGGCAGGGAGAGCGGGAGATGTGAACACTTAGCTTTCGTTTATGTGTTAGAATTCTCAGAGAAAACAAAAATAAAAAGATAAAGAGCCGGTAAGGAAGGAGACATGGATAATACAGGTGAGGTCCATCTGCAAGAGTCCCTGACATCCTTCCCACAAGAAGGCTCAAGGACAGTGTTTTATCCGTCTCTAATATTTCCCATAGCACCCGGGACAGAGCCTTGAATTTATGTGCTTAGTACAGATTTGTCAAATGAATGGCGAAGACCTCCCTTAAAGCCCTGCTCCAGGGACTCACAACCATTGGTTTTGAGGTTTTCTCCATCTCTCCTCAACCTCCCTGAGGCAATTTCATCCCTAACTTGCAGGGGGATGTGCAAGTGGGGGGGCTAGGGGCGCGGCAGAAGGCCCACGATTTACACCTTTACTTACACCTTTAACACTCCAAAGTAAATAATCCCAATAATCCCCAATTCCTTCAACACTTCCAGGTTTCCAATTATCTAATCATAAAATTCTTGCCCAGCCAGGTGTGGCTCAGCGGTTGAGCATCGACCTAGGATCCAGGCGATCAGGGTTCAATTCAGGGCACATGCCCAGGTTGCGGGCTCGATCCCCAGTCAGGAGAGTGCAGGGGGCAGCCGGTCAATGACTCTCTCATCATTGATATTTCTATCCCTCTCTCTCCCTCTCCCTTCCTCTCTCTGAAATCAATAAAGATATGTTAAAAAAAAAAATAAAAAAATTCTTGGCTCAAGTGTCTGAACTATTTCAACCACCGGTCCGGTTGGAATGACCCCAGCAGCCCAGCCAAGGTGGCTGTGCCTCTGCCTGTGGACAGGCCAGAAAGCTCTCCACCCAACACGGGCACCCCTGCCGCGCGCAAGGAGAGACAGCCAGGGCCCCCACCCCTCCTACCGAAGGATCCTGTTGAATTCATCCCGGTCCCGCTGCACCTGCACGGCCAGGCTGTGCTGCTTGAAAGCCACCTGCTCCAGCCGACTTCTCCGCAGCTTGGCCTCTGTTTCCATCTTCTTCTGAGCGTTTTCCTTCTCTTTTCTGCGCCACTCTCTGTCTGCAACCTCCTGGTTGCGCTTTGCCCGCAAGGCATCCTGGGAAAGGAGAGGGTGGGGACACCAGTGAGGGTGCAAGCCACCTCACACTGACCAGGTGCCTTTGGGAAGACACCCCTTCACAGGCTTCGAGAAGCTCCATGAATGTCTCTAGTAGCAAGGTTCTTCTAGGAGAGAATACATGCAATCCTGTCACAGAACTTCCCAGGTCAGAAGCTACCCTGAGGGGTCATCCTGTCCTTCCATCTCACTCCTCCCAGTTCTTTTCCTATGCCTCAAACACCTCCAGGTAGTCCTGCAACTGCTTCTAATTTTAAAAACTGCTAATAATGGAGATGCTATGGTTTCCTCTGGTGACACATTTCTATGGTTAGTTAAGGTTGAAAGTTCTTGACAAAACAGTCAAAAACTTTCTCTTGACCCTTAAGCTCATAATGCATGCTCAGTCCTTGCTGCCAGAGGCACTGGGAGCAGGCCCACCCTTCTTTCTCAGAGGACTGGAGTCTAGATACTGGCATCCTTGCTTCTAGATCTCCACCCCTGAGGCCATTTGACAGGCTGTCCCAGGAAGAGTTACCTGAATGGGAGAGGTAGGGAGAAGCAGACTGAAGGGGTACCTGTTCTGCCTGGTAATCCTGGGCCTTTTCCTGCATGGCCCTCAGGCGTGCGATCTCCATCTCTTTCTCCCTCCTGATTCTCTCCTGCTCAGCCTCAAACTCTGCTTCTCGAGCCTGCCAAAAAGAAAGGCTTTGTAGAACAGCTCCCATTGTCCCAGCCTTGCAGAGAGAAACCAAACCCCTGCACCAGCCTGTCCAGTATCTCCCCTACCACCTCTGACTCCTTCTAGTATGGCGAAATGACTAGCAATGCAAGGACATAAAACCAATTAGAATTTGTAAAATACTGTCTCCTGTATTATCCCAGAGGGTCCTCACAGCTCATGACATAGATATTGTAGATGAAGAAACATGTTCACAGAGATCGAGGGTCCCGCCCAAGGTTGCATAGCTAGTCAGCTACCAAACAGGATTTGACCGCAGGTTTCCTGAGCACATCCTTCATGCTCCTTCCAACTTCACATTTTCCAAGTTACAAGGCCACTGGGCCAAATTTCTAGAAGTAACAACTGTGGCTCCCTGCCTGTCTTGTAAAGTTTAGCAAGTGGAGGTTATCTCATTAGTCCCTGGGCAAAAGGCCAACATGCTTTGGGCAGTCCCACAGTGGTTAGCAGATACCTAAGGACTGAACCATTACAATTAGCTCCCTTTGCCACTCCTCTGAAAGAACAGATATATTCTTAAAAGCTTGCCAAATCCAGTTTCTCAGCACCCATTCCCGGGCAGTCATAGAGTAACGGCTCAGGTTGGATGGAAATTGTCCTGTAGAGAACATTCCTTAACCCTCAATCTATCTGCCCGGACTTCTGTGCAGCACAGTGAGTTGCCTGCTTGTGAGCTGTGCACACTGGCTGTGTGTCAAGCTGGTCTCTCTGTTCCCCCTTGCTCTAGATGGCAAGGCAGAGAATTCTGGAGTCTTCCACAACCAATTAGCTCTAAAGAGGCGGCCCTAGCTGCAAGAACAGAGACCACCGAAGTCAGGAAAGGGCTTCTGATATACCTGAATACTTACAGGGTGCTGTGGGTGCACCCAAGTGCCTGATCCCTTTGCCAGTCATCATCCTCTCACAGCTCCTTCCACCAATGTTCTCTCCATGTGTGAAGACAAGACACGTGCCTCTCCTGCCCAGAAATCTATGATGATTTCTCATTGTTCCATGCTTCCAGCTCTGCTCAAGGTCCAAGGCATCCCCAGCAACTGCTCTTAGCTCTCTGTCACCTCACCACCGCATTTCTTATCGTAGCCACCACAGATGCTCTGCTGCAGCCAGCAAATCTGTTCACCAACTCCAACGCCACTTCACCTAGTCAGGGAAATAGCCGCTGAGCTCCACACTATTAGTCTAGGTATGTTCAGCCTCATCTACACTGGACACACACTGAAGCACTCAGGACATTTTGAATCAATCAGTGGCTAGGTTCACAAGGTGGTTATAATGATTAAACGAGACAACACTGCCCGGCCAGCGTGGCTCAGCAGTTGAGCATCGACCTAGGATCCAGGAGATCATGGTTTGATTCCCGGCCAGGGCACATGCCCAGGTGGTGGGCTTAATCTCCAGTCGGGGGGAGCAGGAGGCAGCCAATCAATGACTCTCTCATCATTGATGTTTCTGTCTCTTTCTCTCTCCCATCCTCTCACTGAACTTAATAAGGATATATTTTAAAAGAGAGAGAGACCACACTTGTGAAGACTTATGAAGCACTTGGCACAGACCTGTGCCCAGACTAAGGACTCAACAAACGGTAGCTGTGTCATCACTATTATGCGTGAACCATCTACGCCCCTAATCTTGCATGCTCAATCTGTCCCCTGTATATCCCTGCATCCAATGAGAAAGCCAAAGCCAACAAGTAAGCTTTGTTAAGCTTCGTTTTCTGTGGTTTGGTGTATGCAGGTATATCACATATGCCTTTTGGAATTATACCCACACCCTCCCCATGTCCATCATTAAAACACTACTATAGAGAAGAATGATGTGCCCTCTGTCGTCATGGAACCTCAAAACTAGAGGAGAGATGGGACCAACACATGTAGAACTGAATAACTTTCCTGACACCTGGAGTCCTTCCTTTTCACATAAATTCATCTTCACTCCATCTAAATGGTGCTTAAAAGTTTCTTTTGCCCACCATTCCTCACAGACCCAGTCATTCCATTACCCCATTTTGCCCCAGAATGAGCCTGCACATTACCAACTTTCATTCCTCAGTAACTATTGCAGGCACTGCCTTCTGTCGCATGGTGCATTTGTTCTTACAGGTTCCACAGTGGGGCGTGGGGAAGACAGTTTTCTGAGTCTAGCACCCAATATAGGAATTTTCACAGGAAATTTATGGGAAGCTGACTCATGATTACTGGGGATATAATTATGCAGGTCATGAGGAATCCACAGAAAACTTTAATTTCACCAATAGCTTTAATATTCTTTCCTGCCTGCAACTGACCCTCGTCCCAACTTCTAATCAAAGGTGTTAACAAGGATAATAACACCCTAATTTGGGTGTTTTTTCCAGGCTATGCTCTGTTAATGAACAAGCTGAGTGGCCAAGATGAAGACAAAAAGAAGCCAAGCCCTTGAACTAAGGACTTAACTTTCAGAACAAAGACCAGGGGCTGCCTTAAGTTGGAGTCCCCTCGGTTCTCAGGCCGCCTCTCCCTGTGACAGACGTCCCATCCCTGGCCAGAAGTCCTAAGCATCAGAGCCAGGTCCTACCATCTTCTTCCTGGTGAACTCCATCACCAGCTGGTCTGCCAGCTTCTCCTGAGCCTGCAGCTCTGCTTTCTGCCTCTGGTTCTCGTCGTTGATGCGCTTAATCTCAGCTTGCATCTTCAGTTTTTGCTGGTGCCTTTGTTCCATGTCCTGCCAGCAAAAGGAAGAGAGCCTCAGAGTAGAAGGGGACACGACCAAAAGATACTGGCATGTAAGGATAGAGAGGTACATGTAGACGCAGGGAAACAAATGCTTCGGAGCTGTTCTTTGTTAACGCTGTCCTTTCAGGGGTTGTCAATGGCCCCTTCCAGACACATGGACTCTTTACAGTCTCCTTCCAACTTACTTGGTGGCAGCCCCTGACACTGCTGATCTATTTCTACTCTCAGGAAGCAAAGGATTTTAAAATTCTAATCAGTGTCTCCCACATGTCCTGCTAAACCCCATCCCTGTGGCTTTGTTCATGGTGTGTTTCTCTTGTCTTCAGTTTCCTTCTCCTGTTTAAACCTAAACTTCTGGTCATCATCAACTTATTTAAATAATAAGTATTGCCCTAATTGGGCACTTTCTATTCATTGGGCATATATCCTATTTCTGACACCTAAACACAACCAAAACCTCTGAAAGTTAGGCCTTGTTATCTCTCTCGTGCAGATGAAGAAACTGAAGCCCAGAGTTTAAGTGATTTGCCCAGGGCCAAATAGCTAAAAACTGCAGAGCCAGAATTTTGAAACCTGAGCTGTCTAAATTAAAGTTTCAATCTTCTCTGGAAATCTTATTTGACTGCCCCTAGTTTCATATTCTCTCTTCATTGTTGAATCTCCACACACCTCCTGGGATTCAATAACATGCTACCTTGTGGGTCCCATGCATTTCCTGTGTGTTCATTCTGTCACAGCTAGAGAACAGGAAATGTGTCCCACATTTCCTCTCTTTGTCATCAACATGTAGTCCAATTGAAAGAAAAACAGAAAATACTCAATAAACTATTGCTAAATGAGGCAAGGGAGTAGGGACCAACGTGAGTGGCATGTAATAAAGAAAAAAAAATCTTACACACAGAAACACAATGAGATAGAGATCAGAGAACCAATGTGACACTGAATGACAAGATCCCCTCTGAGGAAGGAGCCTCTGCCTTTCCCAGCGCTGAGCCTTTGGAAGCTCCTGATGATCAGACCACTTCTGAGCCGAACACATTTTCAGGCCCCAATGCAGAGGGACTCCTAGCTTCAAACTCTTCTACCCATCAGCTCGCCCTGCCTCCCACACTATCTCCAGCTCACTCCATTTCTTCAAAGACTAAACCCCTCTCTGGTCTTCCAGCACCTCCACAGCCCAGCTTCTACCCTGACTCATCCAAGGCAATTTTCCCTGCTCTCCCCCAGCCTGGCTCCCTGCCCAGTTCAGGGCCCCTTCTTCCAGGAAGCCTTCTGAACTGACTAGCACAGCGCTGTCTGCCTCTAGGCGGGTTCGTGTGGCGCCCGAGTCCTGGCTACCAGCGTTCCCTCACTCTCCCCGCACCACCTCCTTGCACCCTCCACTTTTCCCCTGTTGCTGCTCCAACTCTTGCACTCCTTTTGCCCCTTCTTCCTTTCCTTTCTACGTTCTTCCCCCAGTTTTAGGTCTGTCATTGGTACCCCAGACATTACTTAATCTCATTGGCCCTCAAAGCTAAAACAGCCACCAACCTCCGGTCTCTGACATATAATCACGTATTTATTGACTTACTTCTCTGCCTATTTATTTACTTCTTTAATTTATTGTCTTTGTTTGGTTCATTTCATTTCTAAGATACCAAAGAGCCTTCCCTGTTTCTCATCTCTGAAGGCATTCCAAGGCAACCCCCGATAAACCCCCCCACTCTCCTCCATCTTGCTGGCAGCTTTCTATATTAAAATTGCTTAACAGTACCTCTTGCAGACTCAGTGAGTGCTTATTAGAAAGGCAGCAAATGACAGCGACACAGCATCAATGTAATGGTGTTGACTCAATGACACCTGGAACTTTCTCAGCGAGCCCACCACTCCCACTCACCACAACCTAGTTGGACTTTCCAGCCTTCGTGTCTCACCCCTTTCCCTACATGCTTACCCCATGCCTCTCCTTCCTGGACCTGTTTCTCTCTCCTGAGCCAGGAACGTGACCAGGCCTCTCTGTCTTCTTGGCCCTGTGGATCCCCTTCTCAAGTAGTTCGCAAGGCTACAGGGCCCATCATCTTCCCTAACCATCCGGTGATCTTCCTCCCACAAAGCAGGTGCTCTGAGAAGCCTTTGTAATTATAAGGCCATCCGTAAGACCCTCCAGGGGCCCCGTCACTCACCACCAGCAAACACACCATCAAATGACAACTCAATCGTCCATGAACATGGGAGAGGAGGAAAGAGATGAAAGCATACATGTCCCACAAGTTAAATGGAACCATGAGGAAACAATCAGACAAATCAGAATGTGGGACATTCTTCAAGTCAACTAGCCTGGATGCCTCAAAATATCAGTGTTATAAAAATAAATGAAAGAATAAAGAAAGGAAGGAAGGAACTCTTCTAGATAAAGACAAACTAAAGGGACTTAAGTGAGTGATCCTGGTTTGGAAAAAGAAAACAACTGAAATACATTTTTGGAACAATTGGGGAAAATTGAATGTGAATTAAATATTAAATGATATAGAATCATTGGATTTGAATTTTTGTCGGGGGATGTGAAGATGGTATTGTTGACATGTACAACAATGCTTTGTTCCTCAGAGATGCAGACTGAAGCATTTAGTAGCTAAGTGTCAAGATATCTGCAACTTACTTTTAAATAGTTTAACAACAAACTATGCATATGCATCTAAAAGAAGAGACAAGCAGCTAAGGCATATTAGCAAACATTAAATGGGTGAAGTATTGATGGGTGCAATACAATTCTTTCAACTTGTGTGTGTGTATAAAAAGTTTCCAAAGTGAAAAAAGTGAGGGGAAAAATAATAAATGCTCCAATGCTTGCCATGCCCCTGCTGTGCTTTTTGTATTGCAACAGACCAGATATGGCAAATGGAAGAGAATTTTTTAAAGAATTTTTTAAGTCTACTTAGTTTGGGCAGGTATGTCATCATTTCTTATGCAATAAATATGCCTATTAATTTTATTTAGGCTAACAGGAAAAAAAGGTTTGGCTCCTCGACACAATTAATGACACTGGGATGCTGTGTACTTTGAATGAGGTAACAGCAGGGAGCCTGGGACTAATGCTACTATTCATCTACAAAGTGTATAATATCCCTAGATAATTGAGGGAAGACAATAATACATCCCTCTGTTTATCTGTATAAGGCAGACAGCCATATATTTACTTTATGTGTCCACTTGCATGGACATGTCAGTCTTAGACCCCAGGTCCCAGTGAGGCAGGGACAGCCTCTATCCAAATCACTGCTCATCCCCAGCATGGCGTCATGGCCAAATAAATGTTCAATATGGCAATAAAAAGTTGATGATGATGACGTTGTGAAATGAGCATGAGCCTGACAAAAAAAATAGTCCCTGTCTTGGAACCCCCAGACCTTGGAGGGCTTTGCTGCTGGTGCCAGGGGACGTGGCCCCTCCGTCCAGCCCTGTTACCCGCAGGTCCTCCTCCTGGAGCTGCTCCATGTACTCCAGCATCTGCTCCTTCTCCTGCTCCCGCTGCTCCGCAAACAGCGACCGCTCCTCCTGGTTCCTTTCTATCTGCTGCACAATGTGCCGTCTTCCTCTGGAGGAACAGAGCCGCGGTGTCTTAGAAATCAAGGGTTTGTGTCTCTATGTTCCAAACTTCACCCAAATGACTCCCAGAATGGGAGGCATGTCAGGAACCATCTGAGAAGCGCCCTGACCATCGCTGTGCTTCCTGAGCCCGGACCAAAGTCCTTCCCCGGAGCGTCTCGAGGGGTCAGTCCTCTCTCTTCCAAGCTCCTGGCTCTGGGGCTCATACATCTTGATATTCCCTTTCTATACATGTCTTAAGAGCGCAACCCACACCATAATGCACCTGCTCCCTGTCAGTGTATAGAGTTTCTGAGATCCCACCACCACCCAAGCCCCCCCAGAGTGCTCACGGAGAGCTGGCTTTGCATGCAGGCTTCACAGAGCTTCAAGAGTGCAAAAGCCCATGACTCTCTCCCTCCATTGCCTCTGCTCTCACCTGTGTGCCTCGTCGCCCCGCCCTACCTCCCAGGCCTAGTTTGCTAACTCTATTTCTTATATCCTATCTCTCATTTTGAGATTGTCAGATGCTAGCGAACAGGGCTGAGTCTGAGGGACCAGATTCTACAAGGTGTTGCCATGGCTCCCTGTGTGTTGGAAGCACCCAGACCTCATGACATATGAGTAAAGGCTGGAAGAATGAGAGACGGCACCACTTAGAATAAGAATCTAGGAGAAAGAGCAAAAAAGTCACTTTCACATAGAGCACTTGAACGGCTTCCTGACGCCAGATGAAATCAGCAGGAGCAATGAGTTAGAGTTGCATGAAAGCAGGTTTAAACTCAGCACAAGGACCAGCTCAAATCATCAGAGCTGCATAATGAGGCAGAGAGATTTCCTTGATTGGAGCTATTTATGCAGAAGATGAAGAGCCACTTAGCCATTACAGAAACTTTTATTGGAAGCCTACTATAGTCTACCGGGTACCTACTAGAAGTCCCGAGATGAATGGTATAGGAGAGCAGAATACAGACGGGGAAAGAGAACTGCCATTCAGGGTGCTACAAGTACTCTTTATGGAGGTGATTTTTGTATTACATGGTTGTTGCACTAAACCTAGGACACTATGATTCTACAATTTACCTGTTCTGGGTCTTATTCTTTTCTGTAAAATGAAGAGATCTGAATTCATTCATTCAAACATATATGAAGTGCCTCTTACAGGCCAAACACTCTGCTAGGCCCAGGAGGCACAGAAACGAATGCGACAGGGACCCTGCCCTCCATGACCACGCAGTCTAGGGAGGGTCAGAGAGCCACAGTGCAAGAGGTGGCGTGCTGGGGTCAGCACAGTGTGATGGGGCACGAAGGACAGGGCCACCGAGCCTGCCCGGGGAAGGGAGGGAGGTTTCTCGGGGAGGTGGCGGCAAAGCAGCACCCTAAGGGGAGAGACAGTCAGTGTTTTCCAGGGGAAAGGAAAGAGGAGGGTATTCAAAGCAGTGGGAACAGCGAAAGTCATGAACTTGTGATAAGACCCGGCATGTTGGGAGATGAGGGGAAACACAGAGTGGATGGCAGGAAACGGTGACAAATGAGGCTGAACCGGGCCAGGTGGTGAAGCACCTGTTAGGATCTTGGAAATAAGCTTTAGGAAGCTCTGTGGTTCTGTAAGTCACGTTGTGAAAGTTTTGAGATAATGCTAGGTGATGATAATGGCCATTTCTCATCTCTTCCCTGTGTGAAAGGCTACATGGACCAAAAGATACAGGAAATGACAGAAAGAAAGATGCCAAAGCCACCGCTTTACCGGATTCTTTCCTCCCTCCTCCTCCTGTCCAGGTCCTCCTGCCTCTGAATGGATTTCTGCCGTTCCACCTCCATCATCTGATCCAACCGCTTCTCCTCGGCATCCAGTTCTTTTTGGATCAGCTGCTTCTCCAGGATCTGGGCATCCCGGATGGCATGGCACTTGGCATTAAGGATGATCTGGGGAGCAGAAGTGGAATTGCGGGACTAGGTCTGGAGGTAAGGTTAGGGAGGGATGCACCATGGGTGTGTGGGAGTTGGAGGGGAGAGAAATAGGAGCAGAATACTATCACGTGTGCTGGAAATGCACATGGCTGCCCACAAGCCCAGGAAAGCACGAGCATTCTTACATTTGACCTTCCCCTTAATATTATTCAAACATAATACTTACTGGGCTCCTGCTAAGTGCTTCTTTCGGAACTGACTATTAATGTTGGGAGCCATGGGACACTTTGGGACTATGATGAAAGCTATGGGCCCCCTCCTCCATAAAACTCACTTACATATAGGACACACAAAATCTCCATGAAACTTCAGAGGTTCATGGGTCCCCTTAGGACCTACGGACCCCAGTTAAGACCCCTGTTCTGCCCTAGCCAGTTTGGCTCAGTGGTTAGAGTGTTGGCCCATGGACTGAAGAGTCCCATGTTCAATTCCTGCCTAAGGGCATGTACCTCAGTTGCAGTCTCAGTCCCCAGTCAGGGGCGTGTAGGAGGCAATCAATCAATATGTATCTCTCGCATCGATGTTTCTCTCCCTCTCTCTCTCTCTCTCTCTTTCCTTTCCACTCTCTCTGAAAAGCAATGGAAAAAATATCCTTGGGTGAGGATTTGAAAAACAAAACAAAAACAACCTATTCTACTCCTCAGAGAAACTAAACACTCATGCAGAGTCAAAGCCACAACATTTTTAAGCTGGAAGCGTCCAACATGACACAGAAAGGAATGAAAACCCAGGACCATCCATAAGAACCATAAAGTAAAAGCTTTCGAAAATAAAAGAAGGTATAAGTAGAGAAGATTTACCTGAGAGACAGAAATTGTAGATGAAGGGGTTGGGGAGTAAGCCTTTCTCATTTGGTTGGGAAGTGAACCACATGCCAGTGAGGAATTCAAATGAGCCTCTGGTCTTCATGCTCTCAGCTAAAGCACTTCCAAAAGAGCTCAATGGCCTGGGCCACCCTCTGGCCAGAATTGAACTAGCCAGATAAAAATAACAGTAAAATCCTCCCATTCATTTATCAATACACTTTTTGCAAAGCCTTTCCCACATATTAGTTCATCTAATCCTGCCAATAATTCTGCCAAGTAGTTTTACCACCTTCGCCTCACAAATGAAGAAAGCAAGGTTCAGATAGGGCAAGTGACATGCTGAAGGTCACGCAACCAGCGCAAGGCAAAGTCAGTGCTCCCTCCGATCACAGCAACCACACTGCAGAGGCAGCTCTCCCTCACCTCTCCCCTCAGCCCCCCAGCCAGCCCCTCGCCTTTCCCCCTCCTTGCCCCCCCCAGCTGAACCCAATGCTGTCCAATGTGTGAATAAGAGGAGGGGGGATGCACGGAGCCCCGACCTTGCTCATGTCCTTGAGCTCCTCCTCCTGCTCCATCCGCAGCTTGTTGGCTCTCTGCAGAAGGTTCTGGGCCCTCTCCTTGGCCACTTCCTCTAGGTCACTGAGCTTCTTGTTGTTCCTCCAAGCCATTTCCTTCTGCTTCATGACCTTCTTGCGTGTGGTCACCGCATCCTACAGAGGACCAGTGCATCAGAGTGGGCCTGTTCCCTGAGCTGTGTCCTGGGCATTACTCTGGTGACCACAAGTGACCCAGTATTATCTTTGCTCTACCCCATCCTGCTATCAGAACCCAGAAGATTCTCAGCCTGGTTTCATCTTCACCCCTCCCTTTTCCCCCCAGTTGCTCCCACAACTGGTCTTTATTCTACAGCATGTCTCCATCTACGCCTTGTTCCAGGACCCCCTAACTAGAGCCCCCAGTCTCACGGGAATCTGGCCTCTCCCCAGATCATCTCCCTTCCGCCACCCATCTGTGCAGACCAGGGCTCGAGGGTTAGCTACCAGGATGGCTTCCTTCTCCTTCTTGAAGGCCTGTTCCCTGGCCTCCAGGTCTTCTCTGGTCAGCACTTGGGATGCCCATTTAATCCGCTCAAACTCTTCGGGGCTGATGATAAGGGATTTCCCGGAGGGATCCTTTGTGGGAATGCTGACACAAGGAATGAACAAAGTTAAGGAGGAGGAGAGAGGGAAGGCTCTCGGCACTGTGCGGCAGGCTTCTCTGCTCTCTTCCTCCCTCACCATTGCCATCCCTCTGGCACAAGCGTGGCCAGTGGGAGGGGAGGCTGCCTGCTGCACTGTGGGTCCACTGGGGAAGACATCCCAGGAGAGGGTGAAGTAGCATCACAGGCTATCGGGACATTTTAAGAACTTTTTCTAAAAGGCCCAGCATATATGTTGCCATCTCTGTGTAGCCATTCATGACCCTCCCCCCAATATTCACATATGCAGATCCCCCACCTCCCCACCAGACCTGAGGGACCCCCTCCTGCTCTGAGCCCACCAAGCTCTGCCCTCGCTGCCCACGTTCCGGCCACTGGGCAGGGCCTGCTTCCCTGCTGGATCACCAGCTCCTTCAGGGACGCGGTCTCTGTCTTACCCACACTGGCAGCCTAGCCTAGCCCAGTGTGGGGAGCAGAGTGAGAACTCCAAACAAAGCTGCTGAATCGAACTTTAAAAATAGATTATTCCTCAGGATGACATAAAAAGGGCAAGGGGACGCCAGACAGTTTGAAATGAATACTAGTGAGAAACCTAAACAGCCTGCCCATTCAGCCCAGAGAGAAGCTTTGAACCCTAAATATTAATTAAAATGTCTGATCAACAGCAGTTGGAGACATGTCTATAGACCTCTCCTTTCTAGCCACCCAACCATTCAACAAACCAATAGGTAATTATAATGATTACAAACAAATGACATATATTAAAGATGGAGGCGGGGGAAGCAGGGGGTGGGAACAAAGCTGCTTCTGGGTGAGGCCATTTAACAGGCACATGGCAATGAGATGCAGACGTCGGAGGCAGGAAGTGAAACCTCATCTAATAAAACTAATGCGGGG